TGTCCTAAGGAAGCTGGAGGAGGCTGCCGTGAGCAGCTTGGCTCCGGGCAGAGGAGCGCGGCCTCGGACAGGAGCGCCCAGAAATTGAGACTTCTCGTTCTGTCTTACCAGAGTGCACATGTGTCCTATTTCAGAAAAAGTAAAACAGTCATTTGCAAAAGAAAGTCAGTCTGTATCCTACGCATTTTAATAAAAACTTAAAAACAGACATGTTGCTTCTTGGGTTTTGCCATTGATTTGTTCGGTTTGAGCATGCAGCATGTTCTGTTTTTGGGAGGAAGAACATTATTCTTCCCTGCTATGGGAATAACTGTGCAGGGTGAGTGGGCGCAGAGACTTCAGCTTTGCTGTAGTACGCTTAGTGCCGTGTGACAACCGAGGCGCACGCCGTGGCCCCTGGTTATCCGTGGGGATGGCAGGTTCTTCAGCAAAGCTGCTTGTTAGCACGCTGGTTAGCTGTGCTTCACTCGGCATTTTCATCAATACTGGAGAGAACCGAAGACTGCATGTGGCAAAAACGGGCGGGGTGTGTGCCTGTGCATTCACTAGACCTGCACAAAATCTTGCTTTTATTTTTGTTTTTGTTTTACTTTTTTTTCTTTTTGCCATGTAGTTTGTGCTATGCTGGTCTTGAGCTTGCTGTAGCTCAGGCTGGTTTTGGAATCCAGCTTTTCTTGCCTCAGCCTCCTGAGTGCTGGGATTATAGATATGCTCCACCACACCCAGTGATGATGCTGTGCTTTTGGAAAACCCCGAGTGAGATTCCAGAGCTAAAATATTAAGTAGCCTAGGAGACATGGCAACAAGTTCTCTACAGTTAAAGACAAAGTTGTTGGAGGTGTCCTGTCATCCCTACAGCTCTGACAGAGGCATGGGTTCTATGGGTAAATGGGATTGTCTTGAGGCCTGGTGGAATGTGAGGCTCAAAGGCTGAGTTGGGGCCTTGCCCTGAGTGGGTCCTAGCTGTACTGGCTACCACTTGGGACTTCTCTCTCCGATGTATGCCATTAGTGCAGAAAAACTTGACACTTAACAGGACACTAATACCCTGACGGTCGTTAACTAGTTTTTTTTCTTCTTTTTTTTTTTTTTTTGCGGAACCGGGGATTGAACTCAGGCCCTTGCGCTTGCCAGGGAAGTGCTTATTCTACTGAGCCATCTCCCCGGCCCCCCTGAGGGTCATTAAGAGAATCACTAAAGAGAAGGAAAGAATTGCTAGGAAGCTGGCATAGATAAGAGACTGTGCTGAGATCAAGCTATCTTCTGTGTCACAAAACCAGAAGACAACAAGGTCCGCTACAGGAAGACAGCTCACTTCGAGTCTGGAAAACATACTTTCTCAAAACAGGTCTGTGGTACCAGGGGCCCTGGGAACCTTTCCAGCGCTGTGAGGGGATACCCAACAGCACTCGTTCTATTCCAAGAATCCGTACAAAAACTCATTTAACAGCTGGATAGTCTGTCATTAATGTGGAACCTGTATTTTAGTGATACGGAAAAACAGACTTTCATAAAATGTCTCGCTTGTCACTAACTTGGGGCTCTCATGAAGTTCACCTGCATGCCAGGCCTCGAGGGACTTGACAAGCAGTATTGCCTGTGGGACAAAGCCGCAGTGCCGGCCATGTTCTGTCCTAGGAGTTTATTTATTTATTTATTTTTA